TAACCAGTACTTTGAAACTCCAGTGGATTTATATGAATCTGATAACTCCCACAGCTTGAAAGGGCATAACAAATGTTTATGGTTTGGAAATGGATTGTAAGGAATAATCCTATGGCAGGTCTTCTGTTTTTCCTCTTGTGTGGTTGGTTTGTTTGTTTTTACTCTTTCCTCTTGCATAGGTTAGGGACAGGGGATGTCATCTCAAGTTTTTCCATAGTGTGAAATCGAAGCGTACAGTCTCTTAGGTGTGAACTGGCAGGGAAGCAGGTATCTGCCTGGAGGAAATTAAGGGTAAGAGTTATTTTTACTTCTGCCTCCTCTAATTGCAGTTTAAAAGCTTGAATTTTCTTACTATTCTGCCTGAAAATTAGCTGTTGTAGATTCTTCCTTAAGTGAAAACACAACCTTGCACAAGGAAGAAGGTATGTGGCCTGGTTGATTGCAACACTTAAAAGTTGCTTATATATATACCTAAAGTCTAGCTGACCTAGGATAAATCTCTGTTTAGGACAACTAGATCAGGTCCTAGAAAAAGAATACTAATTTTCTTTCATACCAGCTTTAGTCTAGCCAAGTCAAATTACCCTGTCAACAACTCTTCCTATTTTGATATATTTAGCAAACACTGCAGACCATGAGGTCAATCTTCATTATGATTTTAGTATTTTATTGATTGACACATGGATATGGTTGAAATGGTGCAACTCTATTTTACTGTTAGTAAAAAATATGGAGGGTTTCAGTAAGAAAAAGCAATCATAATAAAGTATAAGTAATAATAGTGAATGATACCAAGAAGCACTTTAACTGTGCTAGATGTAAAGTTTTATAGACCTGAAGAATGTTTTGTGAACATTAGAACTTGCCTTTCTTCCTTTTATGTCAATGTATAGGGTATTATTTTTCACTGCAGACCTTGCCTTGCTTGCTTTCAGTTTATTTATTAATAAAACTGTATAGCTTAAAATCACATTCTAAGACAAATCAGTTAAAACTGATAATAAACTATAAGTAGACAATGTTTTACTGTATATCATATGCATTACTGTGCCTGTTATGTCACTAATATCTTTTTTATTTTTCTGTTAGTGATAACCATTTGTGTAATTAGTGAGGACCACACTAGTACAAAAATTGCAAAACAGTTGCAGTGGCTTGTTTTGTACCCCCACTGCCCATGAACTTACATAAACTCCTGAATGTTGAAAGAAGCAGTTTGCTTCCTCATGATTCCAAAGCCTATCTCCACTAGGTTTGGCCCAGCAAGTTCTGGTTCTCTACTCTTGCTGTGGCTGCCCTTAGACCCTTCATCTGTCTCCATGGCTGTGGTGGTTGATATGGCATGTTGCCTTGGGTAAGCTTCTATTTTCTCTGGCTGTTTTTCTGGCAGAAGAGGGTTCCAATTGCACCTTCTGCTAATCTAATGCTGTTTGGCGCACTTCTGGGCTTTAAGTTGTTCTTTAACTATCCATGGATCAAAAGTCTGACTAACAACAGCTGTTAACACCTGTTTTCCAGCATTGTAGTAAATATATTTAGTTTCAAAGAACAAACACATCTCTTCTCTGCAAGGTCAACTTTTTATACTTGTGTCTTAGTAACTTTCCTGGTAAGCTACCTGTCCTGCACCTGCAATGTACAGGTTTTCGTCCCTTGAATGTCTTGCTACTTTTTCATGTGAACTGTAAGAAAGCTATATGCAGAGAAAGACAAGGAACAGAGGACTATAAAGAAAAATATGAATACTGTCATGTTACAGTTGCAGACATAACTGAATTGAATTTCACCCCAGCAGTTTTACTGTAATAACTTCTTTAAAATTGGAAAGGTTGTACCTGGGTGCTTTTTTCCCTCTTGTCCTAATTGAGCATATTTGTGACTGCAACTTGTAACACTGGTATGACCCATCCACTAGCAAGACGGGTCATAAGAAAGAGTAGAGCACAGGGACATGATAGGTGAGTTTTACTTCCAGTGAGTTTTACCTCCTTATTCCCTTCAGTTGTTGGGGTATTAATAGAGCATCTCCTACCCTGTATCGTGATGCTTGTGGGAAGGAGGATCTGGAGAGGCAGAATACAGTTCTGTCTGACTTGGCTAAATTGGCTGACATATCAAAAATCTAGCAGAAAGGAACTGAACCATATTTTAAAAGGCTGAGGCTATTGTCTAGCTTGATTTAATAGTTAGGAGTTGCACAGATTTCAAACAACTGACATCAGACTAGGTTGAAAGCTGGCTTTTACCTTCCTCTTAGGTTTGTTGAGTAACCTCCAGTGTCTGCTACTGATTATTATTTCTTTTAAGTTCCAGATGGATGAATTTCTGGAGAGAATGTTTTGGCAAATACTGCAAGGAAAATACTGTATCCCTTTCTATTTTAATGTCTTTGAGGGAGACACTTTGCTTATTCCAAGTATTTGTTTCTGTGCCATAGTTCAATGTTGCTGTTCCTGCTGGGAGAACACAAGGTATTTGACCGGAATTGCCTCTGCTCAGTTAGTTGGAGAAGTGGTGGCCCTTTCTTTTCCTGATCTAGCAAACAGATGCTTGACAGGGTTTCTTTTGGTCACATATATCTGCCCTTTTAAGAAGATGAATTAGTGGGGCCAGTACCTGAAGTAACCTCTCAGCAGCAAGGAGAGGTCTTTTTCGTAGGTCATAGAATCACAGAACGGTTTGGGTTGGAAGGGACCTTAAAGATCATCCAGTTCCAACCCCTCTGCCACAGGCAGGGACAACTTCCACTAGACCAGGTTGCTCAAAGCCCCATAACACACATCATCCTGCTTTTCCCATGTGGCTTTTTTATTTGGAATATTGATGCTTTTTGTGGGCTAGTTCTGCTGTCTAAAACCAAAAAAACCTACAACCTACAAAGCTTTTTGCTAAACTTGTGCTTCTTAGAGCCAAACATTCTTCTGATTCAGGTATGAACAGTGCTGTTGGCAGACCTGGTACTCGATTCTGACGTGACTCTACAGGGACCCTAGACTTGTCTTCTGCAGTTATGCAGCCTTGGTGCTGATCAGCACTGCTTAAACCAAATAAATGCAGAATATGAAGGGTCCAAGCATGCTGCCCGCTCTTTGGCTCTAAAAGCAGGATTGTTCTCTTAGTAGCTATATCTTCAAGGGAAGTATTCACTGAAAAGATCAGTTTGAAAAAGTGAGCTCAGGTGGCTTCCCTTCTTTGCTTCAACGAACTGATACACTGTAAACCAGAGCAAGGCACTGCCCTTCCTGGTGGTGCATGGAAGGCAGATGGGGAACAAGTTTCTTCATGCAAAAGCCAGAAACCCCACCCTCTTGCAAGCTCGATTTAACACAAGGAAGCATCTGAGTAAAACATAAGAAACTTCAAAGAACCAAAGTCAAATTTTTTAAAAAAAAAATTTATTCCCTCAATTTTTATATACAATAATTAACTACTGTACAAAGGTGTAACTGGTCTTTACTGTGAGTTGTTGTGCATATGCAGCTTAGTAGACAGATTTAACATTCAATTTGAATCTCAGTGCACGTAGGCACTAAAACATCCAACATACCTCCAAGGTATAAAAAGACATACCAGTTTTACAGGTTTCTCCATCATATTTTGTTACAGTGCAAAATGCCATGAAATAAGGTTTCTTTAGAAAATTCATATAAATTAAACACATATTGCACTTGTCCCAACCAAAAGTGTAACAAGTTGTAATTACTGAACTAGTTTGATAACGTTTTGGAACACTCTTCACACACATGCACTCCTTCCTCCTAGCTATTTGTGCCAAATATGTGTAGTTTTATTCCAAATATTAAATAACTCTTTATAGCTTTTTGACTAATGCAATTCCTCTTGAACAGACTGCTAAAAAAAATAAGAAAAATCACAGCGGATTAACATAACAAGAAAGTTCTCCAAAACCCTTTTCAGTCTTCTTTCCAGTAGCACTGTAACTAAATACATAAAAATCAGTATTGTTTAAGTTCATAATGCAAGTGTATTGAATACTAACCATTTCAGACACACCTCTATTTTCTGGAAAGGTACAAAACCTCCAGTTCTAAACACGTACGTATTTCTACAGTACTTCAAGCTGCTAAGCTAACATTGCACCCACAAACATTTTGTGCAATACCACAGGTAGGACTTTGACTTCTGTACATCACTGGCTGCTATAGGGCATGTTGGGAGAAGTGGTGCAAAGTTGCATTAACTTCAGAGAACAAAGTCAATTTGGGCTGAATCTAGCCAATACAATCTGTGCACTCACCAAATGAGAAAGAGGTGAAGGCAAATAACATCAATCTTACTAGATTTGACTTACCCTAAATCCTTACAAGCCTTAACATTTAAAGGACCAAGTGCATATGAGTGCAGATGCTAACTTTGTGCTTAAGATATTTATTCAAAGCTGGAAGGGAGTAGTTTAGGAACAAATAATTTTATTTTTTTTTAAGCAAACCAGTGTGAACAAAGTTGCTACTAAAACCACTGATGTATAAAAGCAGAGGAAAATGTAGAACACATGGCTAGCTGAATGCTAGTCTATGTCTTAAACAGTTCAGGGTTACCTGCAAAATGTCTCCAACATTTAACTTCCTCCCCCTACTCCACCTTAGAGGACTATACTTGTTCCTGCTACATGCAAAAAGAGCATTTCTTTTCTGAAAACATTTCTGCATTCAACTCAACTCAGTCATTCAGAACATGAGTGGAAGAAAACCTGATTTCTGGTACTAAGACATTCTCCAGATCCTCTTCTGGAGCTGCAACAGTAACTGTACAGTACTTTCTAAAGGCAGGTCCCCATGTTCCTTGGATACTACTAGCTATGAAGTCCTTAATAAGGCAATATTCTGTTTATACAAGTAGTGAGATGAAATCCTAATTTGACACATTTAGGAATTCTTTATACAGATAGCATAAATTTACAGCACTTGTGTGAGTCATGTATTTACATTTAAAACACCCAAGCAGCCAGGCTTTGGAACAGAAGAACAAACAGATAATGTTCACAAACTGGAAGGCTGCTGGATTACTGGACCTGGTTCACATTCACGAAGGTTGTCTTCTGACCTCATATACATTAGGAACACAGTAACAGTAGCAAAGGTAGCTGCATTGACAGGAAAAGCACGGAGGAGTGTGGAAGTAAGACCTCTTGTGAACACCCTCCAGCCTTCTTCATGGTAGCTCTTTCTGACACAGTCTAAAATGCCGTTATATTGTGTGACACCTCCGACTCCATCCGCCTGAAGCCGGGATTTGATCACATCCACAGGATAGGTTGAGAGCCAGGACACGATTCCTGACATCCCTCCAGAAAACAGCAATTTGGGAATAACGTAACTGTCTTCAGATTCACAGCCTAAATACCTGGTCATGCAGTCATAGGTCAGGAAGTAAAAGCCAAAGCTTGGAGTCTCTCTTATGAATGTAGAGACCATGCCCCTGTTGATACCCTTCAGCCCTTCCTTTTGATAGATTTTGATCAAACAATCCAGAGAATTTTTGTAGTTCTTCACTTTCAGTTTGTATTCACCTGTTCCTTGAAGCTGCATTCTTGTCTTTGCCAACTCCATGGGACAGCAGATGATGCACTGGATAGCCCCTGCTGCTGACCCTGCAAGGAACTGGTTTAGAGGAGTGTCTTTTCCAAGAGCACGAAGTGTGTTTCCTTGCACACCAAACACAAGTGCATTAATGAAGGTAAGACCCATCATTGGTGACCCAATACCTTTATAGAGTCCAAAAGCCTAATGGAAGAAGGAAGGAAAAACCCTTTTTAACAGTGGTGTTGATAACCTCCTGAAACTGTGCAGTACCTGGCCTTTCTGGCTCTCCCTTGTGCCCTAACTTTCTAACAGTGCCCAGAAGGTCAGGACCGTCTCGCTTTGTAATAATAATTTCATCTCTGCCTAGGACACAAACGTCTAAACATTTCCAGCAGTACAAAGATATAGTTGAACACATCCAGAAAATAATCTTAGTCCATCCAGAGAAAAGTTTTCTGGTAAATTTTACACTTTATTTTTTAAGTAGCTAAAAGCCTAAAGCCACCCTTTTAGTTACGGTCTTAAAGCTTCAGCAGCAAAAAAAACCTCACCAACTTCTTCACTCATTGCTCAGATTGCTTGGAAAATTAGCTATTCAAATAACTCCTCCTCTTATATAAAAAGTTAACTTCAAACTACCAATTTCCAACTGACTCATCTTCTTCACAAAGTTTCTGGCAAACTTCTGACTACAATATCTGCCCTATGGTCAGGGGAGGTTCAGGGTATACTTATCCCTTGATCTTCAGTATTTGTAGGGGTTTTTTTAACAGTTTTCCCACCCTTCCAGTTCAAAATATATGAGGATACAAAATATGCAAAGCATTAATTTTGTACTTACAGATTCTTGCTTTATGATGGACTGAAAGCAATGGAAGGTCCCACGGTAGAGAGGTTTCTCTACATTTTGAACTTGTAGACGAACCTATAAAAAGTTGTACAAGATACTGATTTGTATGTCAAGAGCAGCCTAACTGGTACACTAGTGTCTCATACATATATGGAGATTTGCTATCGCAATGTATATGCAAGAGCACAGGCTGGACACTGAAATGCCATATGTGGCAAAATAATTTAAAAATATTCTGTAAGTGTTTTGAATTAATTTTGGGGGTGAAAACATGAAGGGAGGAGGATTACTAACTTCTTGTGATTATTAGAAAAACAGTATGTGGAAGTACAACAGGGTAAACTGCTATCTAGAATTTCAGATAGAAGTTTTCCAGTACTGGCTATAATAAGTACTTTTTTTAGCTGCCAAGAATACTTCTGTTCACACTAAGGAATATCTGTACAAACCTGATTAAATTTTTATAAAAATTTATTTACAAGTCAAGCTTGAAATAAGGATAATTTTAAAAGGACGGAAACTTTCAATAACAACACCCATAGTTTTTCTGGCTACCAGACTTGGGACCCTTCCCTGAGATTTGATTTGTTTCAGAGGGTAGCTGGGAAGTGACTCTTAAGATGTCTTACTTTGAATAAGCAAAGGAATAAAAAGCCACTTGTCCTTTTAAATTTTAGTCTGTTTTTTTCACCTGCTGACCACAAACAACTTGTGAGATTGTGGCTGTTTCAGACCTTTAGTGTTAGTAATCAGTTAACTGTTCCAAAACTGAAAGGGTATGTTCTGCTGGACAGATAGATGCTACTGTAACTGGTGACATTAGGAGACAGGCCCTTTTTCTAGAAGTTTTTTAATTTTTAAATGGAAAATTCCAATTCTGTTTTTTCCTGCTAATTTGTCCTCAGCACACTTAAAACAAAAAATTCTCAAAGCTACCTAGTTCATGCAAAGCCCTACACTGCAATAAACTCAACAAATTTGTTTCACTGATTTGGTTAAGTTAGAAATCTGCCTTTGATCTCCACCATAGAGGGCTGAAATGTTCCTCAGAAAAGATGCTTATCAACCATCTAATGCTGCTGCTGCAACTCCAGCACAAAAAACTTCAAGACTCTTATTCTGAAGAAAAGATTGTCAGGTCTGTGTGAAAGATTCCTGACTTTAAAATCTTTTTATCAATGTTTGCCTAAAATAATAATAAACACCACCACAACAATGAAAGAACTGTAAGATTACATGTGTCTAGAAAAGGATTTGGGGACACGGTTTGTCAAAATTCTATATACAGGTTAGCTCTCTTTTTGAGGAAAAAAAATAAATTATTTACAGTTTTAGCATTATTTTTTTTTAATATTCCTACATGATGTCATTTTATGTTTTGTAAATCACAACTGTATTTTTCAGTGTCTTTTAGCATACACATCAGTGTATGCTAGCCATACTGGGAGGCTGAGATCACCTCAGGTCTTCCAAGATGGAAGAGGGTTTTAAAACATCTTAGCCTTAAAAGTAGGCTTATGGTAGGATTCAAAGAAAATAAACCCTCACTCAAAGTGACATTTGGGGGCTAGGCAGATTGTTAGAACTGCTGAAGAAGCAGACCCACAAGCAAAGTCATAAATCTTAACAAGCCATCAGAACTGCACAAAACAAAGGTTTTACTCCATTTATAGTTTACTGCTATTGTTTCAAACTCCATCTGTGAAGTCAGGGGACTTGCACATGCATGGGCTTTGGGAGAATTGCAGCTTAGGAACCTTCTTTCTTTAACTTTTCTATACGCTTGTCTTTAGTAGTTTAGAATTAGTCATATTCTGTATATAGGTTGAATTTCCTAGTGACATACAGCTCCCACTATTTTTGTCTAAATAATTTGTGAAACATTGACCAATTAAGCCTTGTGGTAGGATAAAATATTTAGAGAGTACAGACACTCCACGTCTAAGAGTGAAAACCAGCTCTTTCATTTGAGCACAGTGCTGATCACATAGGGGTGCCGCATTAGCAAACTGCCAGGTAAGGCAATGAATGCATATGAAACTTTATTTCATGAGTATTAATGCCATATTCAACAAGCTCTTTAGTGTGTACAACTATGGGAAGGATGAATCATGTGCAAAGTTTAGCCTTCTGTTCTATTCATTGCCCAATATTCTTGCTTCCTCCTTATTTGAAACCACTGTTACTGAGGTTTTAGGTCCAATAGTAACACACTGTAATTTCACATCACTGAAGACTTGCATAAAGACTAAGCAAATAAACCCCCAAACCACCACACCCCCAAACCAGTCCAAACATTTAATAATGTGCAAAATAAGTGATTTAGAAGTGTTTGAGCAATGAAAATGTCCTCCAAGGATACATAGTGGATAAGACCTCAACAACAGTGTGCTTGAGATTCAGTTTTAGAGCCACTGTGCGTGGAAGTATACACAGCCAGAAATGCATAGCAGAAAGAAGGTTCAGAATAAGACTTTACATTAAAAAAAAAAAAAAAAAGGATATTTAAACCCCGCTCCCTCCATGCCATAGCTGTAGAAGAGGGACACATCAGTTTAAAACTAAAAAGGGAAAAAGCTTCATAAGTCTTTTAGATCTTTATTTGAACTAATACATTTGGGAATAAATTAAGACTGAGAGAAACAGAAGTGTTCACCTGGGCTATACTTACTAGGTAACTCTCCCGTGATGAGGCTTATCTGTCATCTACAACAAAGTAACACTTTTGCTGTTAATGAAGACAGCCCCTAGCTCAGAAAGTAAAGGCAGTTAAAAGCAAAAAAGCAATTTTATACATTACATCAACAAACCAGGGATAAGGAGTTTGCCAGTTCTGAGATCAGCTCAGTTGTGGGTTTTGCAGGGTGACTTCACCGGCTTAATCTCTCCCTGTGTGTCCCACCATCCCCCTCCCCGCTTTGTGAAACATGATCACCAGCCAAAAAAAAAAGAGCTTAAAAGCAAAGACAGAAGTAAAATTCTGGCTTATCTAAGCAGCTTTCCCATTGTTCAGTTATATTAAAAACTTACAGTCTAAGGTGACTACCAGCTAGCCCTTTAAACACTGCAGAACTATAAAAAAGGGTTAATTCTTAACACATATACACACACAACAAGTTATGCAATGTCTCAATGTCTTTTTTTTTATTTTAAAGACTGGTTATAGTGTTAGATTTCCCACATACAGGGGTGACTATGTCAGCTAATAACACAAACATTAGTATTTTCTCTAACAAAAAAAAAATAGATAAATGCTTATAATACCTTCTACTAGGTATGAAAATATACTGTGCCACACTGGATTTCATAAAACATTTAAAGTCATCTAGGAACAAATTATTTTCTCTATTGTAAACCAAGAGGCTTTTTCTAAAGCCCGTATATCTATTTTGCATTAACACATCTGCTGGAACTAGCACGGCAGCCCCAGTTTTGCAGACACTTAGATGTTTAGTTTCATGCACTAAAAGCTGTTCCACTTTAAAAACCAAAAAAAACAACCCACACATGGTTAACTTTAGACTAAGCATAGAATTTTAACAGTTTTGCTGGCTTCAGTGAAATGACCCATCACCTTAAGTTAAGCATGTAAAACTTGGCAGGATGGCGGGGGTGAGAGAAAAAGACAGCTGGCTCTGTATCACCGTAAAAAAAACGTGCAAGTCTGGATAATGCTATTCCTGAAAATACATACTAGAATTCAATCTAATTACTTAACAGTCAAATTTACCATAGTCTGAGAAACATACAGACAGTTTTTACTACTTGAGCAGCTTGCACTTGACTGCTAAGGACTAAGCTAGCTAGGAAAATCTGCATTGAATTAACGACGTGCTGGAATACAGAATATGGTGATGATCTCAGTAACACTATCAGCCCTTTGCATATCTAAATTCAGCAAGACAGAGGTTTTCCAAATATAGATCTAGCAGGGAGCATGCTGTCTGCTGCAGACAAGTGATCTGGTATATTAACTTAGCAGGGAATATATTGGCATCCCTTCTTCTATTCTTCCAGTGTGAGACTTTGGATAAGGCTGCCAAGAAGTGACTTGTCATCCCACTCTGAAAAATGGGCTTGGACCCCCGGCTGAAGGGTCCTCCAGGAGATGTGGAATCTCATCTTTGAAGTAACTACCCTTAGTATGCATAATACATACAGCTAACAGACCATCAGAAAACAAATTTTAACTTGGAAAGTTATAAAAATACATAAGAATTCTTAAAGGGAGGAAAAAGCCCCCAGACAAGCTTCAAGCTGTGGATTTTTATCCACTTACACCCTTTGGCTAGAGTAACAAATTAACGCTTGAGGAGTAAGTACCAGAGCTTGAGGGGAAAACAAAACAAATTTTCAACCTAGTAACAAAGTAGGTTTGAGTTACAAATGCAGGGAGAGGCAGTTTTAGCAGTTAGTGATGAACAGCTGCGGAGAAGCAAGCTTAGAACAAAATTAAGTTAAATGTAAGATGCTATTTTCAAATACAACATTGTTACTCCACTGATGAACTTGCACCTAAGGCCAACATTTGTCATGTTACTGGGTTGACTCATACATACAAAGAATTTTTTCACTTCTGAAGAGATGGAAACTGCAAATCTATAAACAGTGGTTGAAGGAGCTTGCTCCAAGTTTCCCAGCACTGATTTATGCTCCTACAGTGTCTGGGGATATTTTTTCCTCCCCGACTCCTAGTAAAAGCTTTACATTTTCTACCTAGAGGTAAAGGTATTTCATAATCAACCCACCTTAACAGTGTCAAAAGGGTGTCCGACCAGCACTCCGGCAGCACCTGAAACAAAACAGATGCCATGGTTATGACTCACAGTTTCCTTCCCAGGTCTGGGACTACAGCAGCCTAAGCAGGACCGCCGAGCCTGAGGTGTAAGTGCACAGCGTTATTGGCAGGCCAGTTAAAGAGCATCCTACCTACCAAGTGAGAACATAAGAGATCTACAATTCAGGCCTCTAGGCCAGTACCAGGTGCCTTTATGCTCCGTCAAGCTTCCGAGCCCCAGGCAGGGGGTGAGGTGTGTGACTACAGAGCGTGAGCGTGCCATGTCATACCGGGTGCTCAGCAGCGATTCCCGGCCTCAGCCCACGGCAAGTCCAGTGGGTAAAAATTGCAGATATCCTCTGAAGCAAAATATTTCATGTACATGCCACTCATGGAGGCATAGAAAACCTGGAAGCTTCTCTAAAGGCAGAAGAAAATCCCTGCCCCCTGCCCATAGCCTTTCCAGATGTGACGGTAGCACCTGCAGAAGGACCATGCATTTCCAAAAACCTTTGCTTTATTCTAGCATCAAAGGACTTTTTAGGGGTTACATGCAGGCCTATTAATTATACTAATCTGAACGCATGCATTTTGCAAGTACTGGCTGAAGCAAGGAATCCTCTAGCTCTGTATTTCTGTGAACCTTCGGTTCATTTATGATCACAGACAACAAGGAGAACTACAAAGAGCGCTTCAGTGCGCCTTCTCACATTTGCAGAAAGATCGCTTCCTTCCCTCTCCTAGAGAGGATGTGGCAGAAACAGAACGCCCACTCTAGGATGGTGTAGTCCAAGTTGTTCAAGGCCAGCACGGCGGCAAGATAGTCCAAGTTGCAAAAATAGCAACGTGCACCGTGTTTGACTCGAAAAGACCAGTGGCACAACTGACCAGGCAGGATCCCTGGCAAGGCAAGGATCACTAAGATGAAGTCAGAGAGAAGCAAAAGAAAAAAAAAAAAATCTTTGCCAGGTTGGCAAGGAGAACAGCAAACACAAATGACTGAAAAGACGCGAGAATAAATCCCCTGAACACAATTTAACAACTGCTAAAAATAGAAGGAAGGCCGTAAGCAGATGCACAGGGAAGAGCCGAGACGAGCCTACGTAGTCTCT